GTATGTCAGTGCTGACGGCAAGAAGGATCTCTGGTAGCCATCAGTTTTGTAATGAACCTGATAATCCATTGACTGAAGTCACTGTATGATCGTCTCTCTCTCTCAAGACTCTCATACATGACTGTTATGACATGGTAACAGGTACGTTGTCATGTAAGTAAGTCTTGGGTGACCCCATCAGTCATTGACAAGCACTGCTAATCTACCTCATTTGGTTTTGCTGCTTCTCTTTGAATCTCTTTCAGATAGAAAGCTTGGCAGAGAGACGTTTGAGTTGAAGAGTGGAAGAGATGTTTTGAGAATCCTCCTTCTTTGTCTGCTCTTTGGTCCTAACTTGCATTGATGAAGCCTCCTTTTTACTCCTCTGGGCTTTGGAGTCGTAGCTCTGGTATGAGTTGAGCTTTGGAGATACTAATCAGCTTCATCCAGCTGTAAAACAATACCTTGTTGCCGTGGTTATGCATCATAACAACTGTTGGAAAAATCTTCCAACTGTGAAGCATCCAAAACCAGAGGGAATAACTGTCCAAATATGCAATGCCTCTTCCAAAAAAAAAATTATGAACAAAATTCTTAAGAAGGAACAAATCAGAACTAACGTAGTATTGGTAGAATCGACCCCAACATGCTGCCGCCATGGGCAGTGCATTTCTAAAACTCCAGATATGGACTGCAGATTGAGATAGTTTTTTTTTGTTTTGTTTTGTTTTGTTTTTTCACACATGTCTGATAAAACATTGAATCTTCTGATGATTTCTGAATTACATTGTATCTCATAAACCAAACCTAGTGACTTTGAAAGTATTGTAATTACTAATGTTAATTGTTAACAATATCTCAGCCTGTAAAGTTTACTGAAAAAGCAAACAAGTAATGTTTGTTGTCAAAAAATTTAAACAACAATTAAGTAGCAATCTATATATCCATTGTGTATAATTGCTAATCTGTGCAGGATCAGGGAACTCGTGCCTATCTCCAGCAGTTCTTAGACGACAGGTCAGGTTACACTCTGTACACCCGTGTTTCACAAGGCAACACTGAGACATACAGGATAAACTACCATGCAACCACACACTCACCTCTAAGGACAATTTAGAGAAACCAATTAACCTGACATGGATATTTTTTGGTCATTGGAAGAAGTCAGCGTACCTGGAGACAACCCACACATGAATGGAGAAACAAACCACACAGCGGTTTTGACCATGCACACTCTTTGACCATGCACTCCCACTTTCCATCACAGTTGTACAATTTGTAAAAATCCGTTACCACAAATGAAACTCACCAAGATTAACTAAGAAAATGTTCCACTTAATCATTTAATCAGTTAAGTGAATTATCTCTTTGTGTACAGCTGGAAAAACTTCATTCAAGAGGAAAAACAAAACAACACTGCACTGCAGCCAAAACATTCAGGAGCAAGTCCAACACAGGACAAACATTTGGAAGCAACTTTAAATTTCTGTTTCTGAATGCTTTTCATGAAAACTAATATGACTTGGATTTGCATGATCAAACTTTGCTTTCTTTCATACAATATGCACCATTCTCCATTTTTAGTTTCTTTCGATACATGTTGATGTTACCGTACCATTTCTGAATAAATGTAAGGAAAAGGAAGGTAAAGTTTAGATTCAGGCAGATGCCACTGAAATATCTTACAGCGGATCACTTTGAGCACAAACTAAACATGCTACGCTGGCATAAAAAAAACAAAAAAACATTTGAAATCTCAAGAAAAAAATGAGAAGAAGAAAGGTAGACAAAAACAAACAAGAGAAATATAAAAGTTACAAAATTAAACTTAAATTCAAAGTGATCTACAAGCATTGTAATTATTTCACCCTCTATAATGCCAGTAACTTGTTTATGCATAATTTCGTTCTTTGAAGTCGGTTAAGCTGAAACCAATCTAACCAACATGGCGTACTGTAAGTGAAAGCATGTTTATTTGACTCTACATATCTACATGTCTACATGTTACTGTAGACCTGCCAACAGGGAAAATGTATTTTTAGCTGAGTAATGCCTCCAGTGATGCATTGATGATGTGTTTGCAGGTCGGCTCATTTTGTCTTGCTACAAGGCTGGTTGCCTTGTGCTCAGATCTCAGGTGAGCAGAGGCCTGGAATTACTCATCCTGACAGGCACATCTGGCGCTACTTTCTCTGTCCTGTTGCCCTCCACTCTGCTCCTGCACACAGAAACCGATTTGGTTAAAACCACAGAGGGAAGGAGTTACGGTAATAGTGGCTATGATAATAACATTATTGTTGGTTATTAATGAGATGGGGAACAGACAGTTTACTCAGGAGAAGTATGCTTGTGAACGGTGCTTTGAGCAACCAAACTATTGTTGCGGCATACGTTTTTTTCAAGCTTTGTCCTACTGACTGATAGCTGATTAATGCCAGGTGCAACAAGCATTAGGCGAGCTGGCCTCTCTTTCTACACTGTGGGTTAAACCAGTGCTCTTCAGGAGATAAAATCATAAAATAAATTATGCAAAGAAGGAGATTTAGAATCAAACCTGTTCAGAATTTGGTTGTGTTATGAAAGAGGTGGCTTTAAATGTGGGAATTTCAAAGAACCTTGCAGTTTTCAGCAGCTAGATATCTATCTTCCTGAGTTTTTTTTTTGTTGTTGTTGTTGTTGTTTTCTTTTGTCTTTGCAAGCTGTTTGAAGAATCTATCATTTAACAAGCCAAGGTGGTCCCAAACCTTGAGTTTAGTGCCGATTTTAACACCAACCATCAAGGCAGCATTCATCTGGTTCCTATTGAACCTAGGAAGTGTGGGTCACAGTTCAGGGCAATATTTAGGCTAATGGAATGATCCCAAACATATTAAATTTCAAAACAAAAGCTGAAGGTGTCCGCGAGAAGCTTGCAATCACACCTCCAAATGTAAACAAATACTTTTTAGACTCTTACATGTGCCAACATCTGTGGTAGGCCTCCAAATTCCAGCTCAGGGAGAAGAGTCCGTTATAATGGAGACAGGAGACATTAACATGAGTGAGCACTCAGCTGCGGCACATAACAGTCTAGAGCTCAACGTTTGTGGGGCACAACACCACAGGAGTCCATGATGGGAAAATCAGCCTATGTGGATTCTCACTGAATGTCGTAGTTGAAGAAACTTTATTGTTTTGTGCAGATTAACTTACACATACCAGCCCAACATTCATTCATTCAATTTCAATTTTAGGCAAAGGTTACCAGAGTAAAGTATAAACGTGGCACCTTTGTTAAATTGTCAGTTTGTTGCAATAAACCGCATTACTTTGATGAGTTCAGTTTAATTCACTAACCCTTCACTTCCAGATTAGTAGAACTAGAAAATCGTTCAAATAGAACCTACAGTGTTTGATAACATGAAGCAGGCTAAAAGAGCTTAAAAAACAACAAAGGTTTTCCAATCTGAAGAAGTGAAAGAGCACAGCAGGTCTCACTTGCTATATGACTATAAAAAAAGAAGAATATTCTGTGTACTCATGAGACAAAAGTGGAAGAACTGTGTCCTGTCCTAGCGCACCATTTAAGAAAAACTGAAGCTAAAGTTTAATGGTGGTAGTTGGATGCTCTAGGGCTGTTTTGCTTCTTCAGGATCTGGATGACTTCCCATAATTGATGGAACCCTGAATTCTGCTCTCAAGCATAAATTCCTAAAGGAGAATCACAGGTCTTTAAATCACACATTTGGGACCTTAAGCTCCATTGCACTTGTGTCAATGATCCCAAAAGAACAGTAAGTCCACGCCAGAATGTCTCAAACTAAAAACCAAACAAAGATTCTGGTATGGCTAGTTTGTATCCAGACTTAAATCAAATTGAAATGCTGTCATTACCTTAAACAGGTTGTTCATGGTCAAAACCATTTTGCAAAGTAGAGGACGATAATCTTCCCCTGCACCGACGTGAAAGGTTGAAGGAGTATTATTGCAAAATAATATCAACATTGCCATGTTGGTATAATTGATATAACAATAATATGGTAAACCACAAAACATCATGGTACAGAGAAGTCTTTCAAAAACTTGATACTTGCATCTGCATAAGTTATTTTCACGTTTGCATAAAATCAGTCATTGCGTTTAAGTGCTCCACTGTAAACATGTTTTGATTTCAGTCTTAAAGTGAGAAATAGACAATTAAGCAACTCAACAACTTCTCCAGGGAGCGTCGTATTCAGTAGACTCACTTTAGCTCTGCTGCTCTCGCCTCTTTAAATGGCTTGTCTGCAGCCTCGGGCAACTTTACGCAGTGCTTGTTAACTCACTGAAGAGGCTGCTGAATGACAGTGCAGACTGCTGCAACAACTTGCCCATAGGGAAACATGAGATAAGGCAGGGAACTTAAATTGCTCCAGCAGAAAGACGCAAATGAGCCAGACACTATAAAATAGTTCAGTGGATTTATACTTTTAGATTTGAAAAAGAGACGAAGGAATTTTTAAAATGCACCTTTAAATATTCTCTGTGTCAAATTGGCCCAGAAATATCATGGCTGCAGCTCAGAAATGAACACAACAGAAGGGTTAAAACAAAGAAATTCATTAGAATTAATTTGTGTCAAGTGATTCTGGAGAAATTTATTCAATGGATGATTTTTGTCCAAAACATGCAAACTCCTTGGAGGAAGAGAGAGAAATAGAAAGTCTCCAGATGAAGAGTTCGTTAAACCCAGGACCATTTTGCTGCAAGACAGCCATCCTCATTTCCCAGTATTTAAAAGAAGTCAGAAAGCAAACAAATGTTTACTTGTACAGCCCTTTTTAAACTTAAGGTAACCATAGCAGACATCAGACAATACAGCTTCCAGAATCTATGCACAAAGAGCACCACAGATATTACTGCAGAGCTACTGTCAAGCATAATGAATGACAGGGATCAAGAAGCAGAAAATCCATGAGTTCCACATGGTTTCTATTATCGTCATATGATTCCAAATGAATCAAAAGAATCAAAGTTACAACTGCTTTGTGGGTTTCTCCCAGCCAGGTCTTTAGACAAACTGTACAACTTTGCCGACTGCGCTGGTCTGCACCTGATCCTGGGGCTCAACGCACTGCACAGAAACCCAGACAACTCCTGGAACACATCCTCCACACTGAGCCTGCTGAAGTACGGTGCTGGAAAGAAGTACAACATCTCCTGGGAGCTGGGCAACGGTCAGTACAGCAGCATACCACATGCTGCCTTGTCAGTAGTCATTTAACAGATTGTTCTCTGTAGTAAAATGTACGTCTTTGGTTTTTCTTTACCTCATCTACTGAAGAGTTGCCAAGTTTGATGTATGGTTTTCAGAAATCTCTGCCTCTCTTGGTGGCATGTTCCTATTAAAAGAAAAAAATCAAGGGAATTCATATTTTTCCTTTTATTAGGTGTGTCTACTTCCAGCATTTCTACATTTCAATTACAGCCATCTCTGCAAACCATTTCCCCAGGATAGATCAGACGACGCAAAAGGGTTCATTCCACTTGAACATTTTCAACTTTTTATTTATTACATTGCAATCACAAACTTCAATATATTATAATGAGATTCTATGAGATACTTCAACGCAAAGCCACTATGTATTGTGGACACAGCAGACATGAGATTAAACTGAATAGAATATTAAAAAATCTCTCGACGACTATATTGTTGGTAGGTACTGTAATAATAAACAGTTGCAATGTGTCAGATGTCCTCTCTCTCATCTGTGACCCCATCACTCTGTGACCTTTAACCTGTTGGTCTCAGGTTGTCATTCACAATGACAGGGGTGTCAAACTCCAGTCCTCAAGGGCCGCTGTCCTGCAGTTGTTTAGATGTGCCACAGGTAAAAAACAGTGGAATGAAATGGCTTAATTACCTCCTCCCTGTGTAGATCGGTTCTCCTGAGCCTTGCTAATGACCTAATTATTCTTTTCAGGTGTGGTGCAGCAGAGGCACATCTAAAAGTTGCAGGACAGAGGCCCTTGAGGACTGGAGTTTGACACCCCTGTCACTAGAGGACCCAAATTTGGGTCCTCTAGTGACAGACAGGTTAATACAATAAACAATCTCATTTTTTTCCCTGTTTGAGCATCTGCCGTGTTGAGACTTTGTCTAACTGGCCAAATATTACATCAGCATGTAAAATCAAGTTCATAACACTTGGAATATGAGAGCCAAGATATGTTGCATGCCATACAGTCCTATATAATATGAGTATTTCAAGCCCAAACATAAAACCTCAATACTGATCGCCAGATCAAAACATATGCATTTGTTATGATGGCTCAGTCAAAGCCCAAGCCTAAATCCAATCAGGATTCTGTGGTAGGACTTGAAAAATATTACACTCTCCAATTGCTTTCAGTAAGCTTGAGCAATTTGACAAAGAACATGGAGCAAAAATGTCTGTAATATGTAAAGCTAACAAAGCTAACAAGCTTGTTCAAATGATTTTCTCAGAGGGCTGAATACATATATCGCACTTTTCAGACTTTTATTTGCAAGATACTTCAAAATGATGTATAATTTTTCTTTCATATTACAGCTCTTCACTGCTTGCTGTTAGTCTATCAATAAAGCTCATGTTAGTCAGGAACTGTGGACAAAGTTTAAGGGAAGGCAACATTTTTGCAAAATACTGAGATTTTAGATTAGGAAGCTTGAAGAAGTCGACTGCAGACGATTTGTATTTTTGTTTATCTGCACTCATAGTGTGGGTGGATTTAAGATCTCTCGGTTGCTTCTGTCAGGATCGACTCGTGGAGTTAGGATCGGGTATCTTTAGGAGATATCCCATCTGTCGCCAGGCTCCTTGGTCTTTGAATGGTTTGGGATTTCTGAGCTTGGGCTGTGTTTGGAGTTCCTGTCAGGAAGAAAAATGAATGAGGGTCAGTTGCCTGTTAGTAGAGATAAAAATCTAAAGCTTAAATTTGTTCTTCTAAATCTTACATGCCATGAAAAGAGAACTCTCTTTTGTCCGTGACACTGTTCCTTTCAACAAAGCGATAAAACTGACACAAGTTAAGCTTCATATCTTTTTGTCTTTTTTATATCCAAACACTTTAATAATCAGAAAACACTGAACACATACTATGACAAAGGTTAAAAAGGCACTTCTAATGCATCATTTAAACACAAAAAGATTAGTTTCATTACGCTAACACATTTTTTACTTTGTAGCAGCTTATGGGTAAACATTCTGGTTCATTGAAGGATAACAGGAGAAATGTTTTACGGCTGTATGACTCATATTTCTTTATCAAATTCATAAGCTACGGATCTCTGGATAGGAACTTTTATTTGAGCCGGAGCCGTAAAGTATCATGCAAAATCCATTCATCTAAACGTTTAGAAAATTTTAGTGAGGACTTGAACCGTAACGAAAGCAATAATTTCAAGCAAGTCATCCACGCAGCACAGACACTGAGGCAAATTTATAGGGGTTGAATGAAAGGCAAAGAATTATCTGAGCGATTAAACAGCAGTAGGTCTGCAAAAGCTTAGCGTTCCTCCTTTTTGGGCAAACCGTTTCCTTCGGTCTTTGTTTTAATGAATGTGCAAGGCCACCATGTGTGCTCGGCCTATTCCCCTGACACTGCATCCATCGGTCTACATTACGGCGAATTGCCCAATTACCTCTCTTCAACCCCACTTTTTTTTTTTTTTTTTTTTTACTGGCAGTTGGATACTCTAAGATAGCAAGATCTGACTACAACAACAATATTCCCTACCCCCCTCCCTACTGCTTCTTGTACAAACGCTGGCTCATTCTGCTCCATCTCCTCTTTTTTCCAGAACCTAATGCCTACCGAAGCATGGTGGGTCGTGCGGTCAACAGCACCCAGTTGGCTCATGACCATGCCAAGTTGCGGACCCTCCTGCAGTCTGTACGCTACTACAACCGAGCTCACCTTTACGGCCCGAACGCTGGACGACCGCGGAAAAATGCAGTCCTCCTGCTGGATGGGTGAGTATAACTGGCCCAGATTCCTCTCCTTGTTAGGCTGTCCTGTTGGCGGGGAGGAAAGAGGAAACATAGTGGAAAGTATCTCACAGCCGTTTGAGACTTTATGGAGCTTCACTCATTTCGATACACCCCACCACCCCTCTCACACACACGCATACATGCTCACACGCACACAGTAGACCTTAGTGTTTATGAATTTCCACTCTTTGGGTTTCAGGGTCTTTGCTCTACTTATACCATGTCAACCTAAATAAAGTGTCATCTGACTGATAATGTGAAGGCACAATATCCCACCTGCTGGCTTCAGCCAGAAGCAGCACCAGCTTTAGCTTCACACCGACTGCTTATTTAACAGCACCCTCCCAACTGCAGCCTGCAACAAGAAAATGTAAATAGACCGTCTTACTATTAGAGGAAGAAAAGTTTGGTTTTTGTATTTTCTGTTTCCACTTGTTCAATAATATTTTCTTTTCTAGAAAAAGTAAATTGAGAAGAAAATGTACTTGAGTGAAGATTTTGAAGCAATGAACTCTACTCCCATCAGGTCTACTCTAGCAGCACAGTGTTATTGTTGCAATGATTATCTTTTTTGCTTTTTTCTCAGATCTTATAGGATTAACCTGCTTTCACTCAACTTTTTAGCAAACAGAAAGCTGAAGCGTAAAATGCACAGTGTTTACTTCCGATTTCAGTTCAGGTAATTCAAATAGCATTAGTTCACAACAAATTTCTGATATTTCTCAAGAGGAAGTGAATTAAATGTTTGCAGTTTTACTCTTTTCAGTGATATGTGAATTCCAGTTTCCTTGGGGTCTAAATATGATACAAAGCTCATCCACTCCTCAAAATGATAAAGACAAGAGCACATGATGATGCTAAAGTGATGCTAAAAAACAGAAAAACGTACCTTCAACTATTCAGATGTATTTTTGGACTAAAAGACATCTAGGAAAAAGCTCTTCTGCCTGCCTCAACACACATTACAGTTCAATTTCTATAGATGTATTGATAAGTGATGTTTTAAAGCCTGTTATGAAGAGGGCAATAAAATCAACACACACGCTGGTGAAGGTTCACAGATACTTTTATGTCTCTGTATTTCTCAGGAAGACACTATTTCTAACTGTTTGTTAAAGCACACATTTTGATAAAAAACAGAAAACGTAATGTTACAAAAATAGTTAAGCGAGTTTCCATCTTCTTTGTACTCAGGTTTCTAACATTATGTAAAGCATTAAGAGCTCCATAGTAGCTTCACTATGCCACAGTTTAAAAGATGTCTGCTCCTGTGTGCTTTACATGTGTTTTCTCCGTAATGTTTGAGCAAATTATTGAGCAGCGATCCAAACGTGCAGGTTAATTGTAGGATGTGATGAAGAACAGAGAGCCGGAGTATTTGTGGGTCACTGGTGTCATATTTAACAAGCGACATTTCTTGTCTGGTTGACACTGTTACGAGGCGGGCAGCTCTAGTGTTTGACATCCCGTGCACTCTCCTGCTTTTAGCAAATAAGATTAATTTGATTCTGAACGACCCAACAGTCCAAATATCAGATCTGCAAGACTAAACAAGACACAGTGGTGAAAGTTGTGTTTTAGTGACAAGATGTTTGGAGACACATCTCAAGGTATGTCTGGTGTGTTTTCAAGCCCCAAATATGGAGCGATTTGGTTCAGGTGAAAACGCGCACAGATGCAAAGCCTCAGATGGAGTAAGGCAGATAGCAGGAGGAGCTTTGTTTATGTCAGTTTGCAGGATAAGTATTTCAAAGAAGCAGAAAAGGTTCACAATATATTTAAACATTTTAAAAGATCTCATTGCTGTTGTGAGTTAAAGCTTATTAATTAAAGCTATTAAGAAGCACGCTGAAGGAAAACAGAGGTCAGCTTAACTTGAACCCTGATATAAGATTAATGTCCATGAAAAGTCCTTGTAAACCTCAAACTGGAACTGCAGGTTTAAAAGGTGTTTCTAAATCTCTTTGCCTAATAAGTTGCTCATCTTGCTACGAAGCTATGAAAAATGCCTTTAATACTAATAGCAAATTATCTTTCGGATTTCAACATGATCAAGAGCATGAACTGAACGATTGTTTTGATTTCTCAGGAGAAAAGGAAACCAGTTTTGTTGTGGACTTCAGTTTTTGCGCTTCACTTGAGCAGTTATATTGGTTAGTATTTGTGTTACTGTGACCAAACAGCTCAGTCTTTGTCTCGGCTGACCGTAAAGACTTTCTGCATAAAGACAGTTGTTGTTTTTTTCCTACTTGGAGAGCTGCAATTGAGGCTCTCTCTTAATTGTGTTGCTTTCAAAACAGATGTTGAACTTTTGCTTCACTGTGCTTAAAAGTCAAGTTCATGCAAAGAGACAATGAAATTAAAATGTGGGAAACCATTGCTGATTAAGAGAGCAGTCAAATAAATGTCCAGGAGGATTCACAAACTCTGCAGCTCATAAAATTTGTACTGTTTTTAGATTAGAGAAAATGCACAAATTAACATTAGTACACCCATTGTGAATGCGTGTGTGTTTTATTTTAACCATTGAATATATACGTATTGCGATCTCAGTTCTGTTATAGTTTCAAATATGAAACTATTATATCAGAGTAGTAGATAATAGTTTTGAGTAAATTATCTTTGATTTAAATAACGAGTAGCTTCTCTATATTAAATAACCAACTAAAGAATGTGTGTGCTAATTTCTGCATTAATTATAAAAAATAAAAATAAAAACATTGTTTGGCTTGTTAATTGAATATTTTTACCAAGCACTTATTTTCTATGCAGGTTAAAATAAAGATTTTTGATTCATTTTAGCCCAATTTGTAGACTTTATTACATGACGTATGATCATATCACACATTATTTCATCCACCAGTTGAATGTAGTGTACAAATGTTTAATCATTTTTAGATTGATGCATGCTATACCTGTTACAATAAGAGATAAAATATTATGTAACTGTTTGTTTTATAAATTTCAGGTTCATGAAGAATGCCGGCTCAATTATAGATGCTGTTACGTGGCAACAGTAGGTATTTTACCCTTTTTATCTCTATTTTCTATTCAGTGAATGAAAAGATGAACAAAAAAGGAAAAAAAAATCTACCTGGAGTCTTCTCAAGGAATGAACAACAAGCCAAATATTGCAACACTAAGTATTTTAAATAGCCACTATAAACAGAAAAGAAGTCTGAAAGTGTTGAAAACAAATTCCACCTGCCATTAGTATCATCCACGTTCAAATCTTTTCAAGCATTTTCTACCAGATAGTATTTGCCTCTACCTGAAGACATTAGAGACATTTCTTGAAAAACACACATTCACCTTGTGCTCAGGCAAACCGAAAGTGACTGTGAGAGCAGTCATCAAGGTGAAGGTCAAGTCTAATTAGTAAAAGTTGTAAGAAATGGAAGGTGGAGGGGCTGTCAGTAAGACTTGGAAAAACACCACCCACATGGTTAAAATCAAACCATATGCTCTGGTTCATTCCCTTTGTCTATTAGCCCGTTTTACACTCAAGGTCCAGATTCCAGTCAACCAGGCTGTGTGACAGAAACGCTGACCTCTATAAAAGAAGCCGACCTAACAAAAATCAAGCACACTCATTAACATGTCTACAGCTCAGGTTTTACACCACTGCAGCTGTCGGAAGTTGTTTTTAATCGGATATAGTAGGAGAGAAACTCAGTAGTCAACATGAACTGGATTAGAGAAAGAGTTGGACCTGTTCATCTTCACTTGGGAGTTTACCCCGAAGTGTTTCTTATGCTCTGAGTGATGAAACATCTTGAGCAGGGCAATTTTATTTGCATGGTGCATTTTGAGCAGCAAAGCAATAATCACTTTATGTGATTAGAAGGAAAATACAACAAACAAGCAAAAGATAAGGAGTACAAGAAATATTACAATAAAGTGGGAAAGTAACAGAAAACAATGTCGGGTTGAAAAGCAGGTTACACTTTATGACGATTCAGTTCCTTTTTAGAGGCAACTCTAAACGAACAAGTTTTAGCCCTGATTTAAAGGAACTCAGTGTTTCAGCTGATTTGCAGTTTTATGGAAGTTTGTTCCAGATTAAAGAAGCATAAAAGTTAAATGTTGCTTCTCTGGAGATGCGGAATAGACCTGAACCAGAAGATCTGAGTTGTCCGGAAGACAACAATAACGCCAGGTCTTTAATGTATTTTTATTTAAGCCATTCAGTGATGTATGAATTTTTGAGCTGGGCTGATATGCTCTGCTTTTGTAGTTGTAGTGAGAACACATGCAGAGAAAATGTTAGTTTGTAGGCGATGTTGTACCTCAAAGTTATAAAAAAAAAAAAAAAAATTGTTTTGTCTTTGAAGGTTATTCTGTATCTGTATTTAGATATTTGAGAATCTTGGCTCATAAAAAGGACAAAATGTAATCATTTTCTTTGTAATTTTTCTCTCTTAAGTTGGCCTGTATTTTCCTGTTTACTTGGTTTTAGGTTATCAGAAAACACTTCTGTCATTCTTTTTTCCAGAGCAGGACCTTTAAGTATAAATCAAGCAGATTTGTCACTTTGTCATAAGTTTAATTCTAAGCAAGTCAAGAAGTGAAGGCTTTCTGTTTTTAAATTGCAAAATACCTTTCAGAGGACCTAGAAAGACTTTAACATGCCAGGTTGAAGAAAAAAAAAAACACTGAATGAATAACCCTTCCTGCTGCACTTCATTAAAAGTGCAGCAGAAAAAAAGTGGGAATCACCGCATGAACTAGAATGTTTGCTTATATTCTTTCAATAATCCTAGACCAGATTTTACAAGAAGTATGGCACAATTAACTAACCTGCGGAAGAAAACATCTACTTATTTTAATCCTTTTTCAATTATTTGCTCACATCAAATTAAAAATAAGAACATACTTATGGAAGCAATAAAACGGTGCGGTCATTTATTGCCGTGCCTTGCAAAAGTAATCATTGTTTCAATCACCTTTTTCACATTTTTCATGTTACAACCACAAAATTTAATGTCTTTTTATTGCAATTTAATGGATTCAACCAAACTGGAACATTAAATGATACCTTTCTTTCAACATTATTTACAATTATAAAAGCTCATGTGTTCTCAAGTATTCAGCCCTCCTCTGCGCGCGCGTCTTTTGAGATATAATTCCTGCTACAGTGTTTCAGAAATGAAACACCCTGAACAGAGCTGGGTTGTTTTTTTTTTTATCATTCCTGAGATGCCAGTCTGATTTTTATTCAGAAACAAAACCATTGTAGAATTAAAAATAACTTTAAATTTAAATATACGGCTGGTATAAATGATTTTAAAGTAGTTTTATCTCCACCCATATTCCTATAAACTCTACTCAGATTCCCTGTCCCTGTGGACAAAACAGATCCCCAACTGAAAAATTTGAAGCAGATATCCATCAATGCTTTCTCCAAAGTCTTTAAAATATGTTTTAAACCCTTCAGAATAAGTCTGTCTTTACCAGGACGGTGACTTTAGGTGCTGTACATTTGGACCATACACTCTTTCCATTTTCTGACGATAGATTAAAGATTTCCACCACTTGGGATTCTGTTTCGTACCTTAACTATGTTTCAAACTTTCCACAACTTTATCCCTGTCTGTAGTGTTCTTTGGACTTCATGATTCTGTTTATCTAATGTTCTCAAAAAAAACTTCACTCCCCTTTAAAATAGTGGTTTTTATACTGAGATTAAATTGTGAATTGATTTCACTTTATTTCATTTAGGAGCATCTAATTTTTTTTTTTTTCAAAACAGTCTTTTAGTTTTTGTTGGTCTATCACATGAAATACCACAATGTGTTTGTGTTTGTATGTGTAGCATGACAGCATATATATATCTAAAAAAATAAAAGGTTAAAGGGAATGAAAACTTTTGCAGTGAATGTTTTGCTTATTTGCCCACTGTCTGGTAAGCAGTTTTCGTCTATTCCAAACTGTTGACACGGGTTGGGAATTGAACCTGGAAGTTTAGATATTTGAAATAACACTTCTTCAGCAGTGGTATTTGTATTACCCTAAAAGCAGCAGTGCTGGGCTGTCCCCTCGGTCCACGCTGACAAACCTCAGCAGCTACATGATAGATTGCCATGAAGCTTTTTACAAACACGTACAATCCCCAGAGGTTGAATCCTAGTGTTGGTTCCATTACTTTTCCTCCAACAGTGCCATGAGGTTGACATTTGTGGTTTTAGACTAACATATACTTCAATCAAACACTTAACTACACCCAGGCCCTCCAAGCACATATACAGTCAGCTCTCTTACCTACAGGGGTTGCTTCATGGTGAGAGATTTCTAACAGTCGAACGTGTGAGACCTGGCAGCTAGTTGTGAAAATATGAGTGAGCAAAGCAAAGGAGACAAATTTACCCTTTTGCAGGAGAGTCGCTGTTTAGATGCCCCTGAGCAAAGCATATAATGTTAGCCTAACTGTTCCAGCTGTGCTTATTAGCAGCAAAAACATCTGTGTGAAGCAACCCTCTCACTTAATAAGAGGTGCACTAAAATGGACCATAGCCTTAAACATATAGTACTTCTTTTGCTTATCATGTGAATCACAGCTCAAATTACACGTTTCTAAATGTCAACTGGATCCATTTGTCTGGTAAAGCGCTTTGAAATGAGATTGTTGTAAATCCGTGCTATAAAAATATATTGAATTGAATTAGATTGAAATGAATCACAAAAAATAACCACTTTCACTATTCGCTGTGGTTTAAAGTAAAAAAAAAAAAGAACAAAATGACCTGAGTTGCTTTACTTCTTGTAGACACGCTGCATCTTAGAGAGCTTTCACTTTTTTATTGCAGATGCACTATTAAAGAGATGGTAAAGAGTTGTGGCTTTTTAGCTCACAGGGAGGCTGTAAATTTCCTGGTGGTGTTCCTTTGGGGAGGGGGGATATATCCTTTTGTTGTTGGGTGATGATTCATTAAGCTGGTAATAAGCCTCAGCTGCACAGAGGTTCACAAGAGAACAGATCCTCCTCTCTGCGTATCCACTTTCCTAGTCACGTCAGGTGGATATTTCCTGATACAACTTGCAAGTAGATTGTTCACGATTGGTGAAGTGACCTAATGGAGTGGTCGCTTCACCACAGCAGGTAATTTTAGTTTTTTTTTTTTTTTTTTAACTTACTTTTTACTTTTTTTACTTGCTGTTGTTGGCTGTTTATTGTTTAGCCCATGAGCTGAGCTTTACAGCCAGCTGAGCCCCATCATTAAAAACACATCATACAATAAATATTAAAATATATAACAGGTGATAAAATTTGGATATATATCAATATTGTAATTAATTACAGTTCAAACAATTGCTTGCCTGTAAAGTTTTTATTATCTGACGTGGAGGATGTTCTAACATCACATTGAAGTTAAACAATCTTTACAACTATTCAACATTGGTACCTGTTTTAACAGGTGCTGGTGTAACATACTGCTACCATTAGTTTTATACGCTTCATTTCAGCTTTGAACACAAAATCAGAGCAAAAACATCGACGGAGAGAAACTTAATTATATTTAAACCACTTTGCAACTAATTTGGCTGTATGATTTGAGTCATTGTTTGTTTGTAAGACCCATTTGTACCCACACTTTGACTTCTTTGCTGATGCTTTTGAGAACCTGATTCAATATTTCCGCATCATCTTATTTTCCACTGCCAGATATCTTGTAACGTATGCCAGTCCTACAAACCTCAGTCAACATGGTGCTGCCATCCCTGTACTTCACAGTTAGGATGATGTTCTCAGGCTTTCAAGCTTTTGTGTTTTTTTTCTGCAAAGAAAATAATAATTGTTATTATGCCCAGTCACTTGACATATCTCCAAAACTCAATGTTTTTTTGTTGTTGTGTTCATTTGCAAACATAATAGTTTTTCAAAGAAAGTAAAAATAAGAAACTGTAATAAAAACACTTCCAGCTGATCCAATAAAGGGAAATTACAACCTGATTTAATTCAAGATAGTGAGAAAATCTTTTTTTTCTTTTTATACATTGTAAAAGGATGCTCTGGTTTCAACTACGCTTCCATTTTTGGCTCTATTTTTTTTCCATCCCTGTTTGATTGCATCGTATCTGTTCCTGGGCCATATTTGTGTTTTAGGACAGCACTGGAATATATCACTGGATCACTGGATTGTCAGTGATCCACCTTTGATGGCACTTTGGAGAGAGTTGTGTAAAACAAGCTGACCAAGTGGACTTTTGTCTGTAAACATTCAGATACAGTCGTGTTCATTGTTACATTTTAGTGAATACCAACCAGTAGAATAGCACCACACAAGGATCTTTCTAAGTGCTGCAGAAACATAGGATTTGTCTTTTGGTTCTCCTTCAACTGCCGCACTCAATAAACCTGCAATGATTTTGACATTTCTGGTTTTAAACACCAAGTCAAATGTTTTATGTCCTTTTTTTTAATGCTATTTAATAACAACCATAAGTGTTAAGCTAAAATATGTCATCTTGAAATTTTAAAAACCACTCACTGTTTTTTTTGTTTTGTTTTGTTCACATGTATGATGGGAAAAATTTTTTTTCTCTGTGATCTGGCCTGAAGAATTATTGTGAACGCTCTGGAAAGATGAAAGGATAGCCAAATAACTGGTATGACTTAATCCCTGCATTGTTTACAATTTGAGGCCAGGAGCTTGGGGCCTTTCCAGTGCTATGAGGAAAATTTCAATGAGTCTAAGCTCGGATTGCAACACTGCCTCACCCTGCACGAACTAAATGCAGCTCTGTTCAAATTACTTTCACTCACCTGTTTGTCATTTCCACAGATTTTCCATGACAGGTTTTGTAGACATTTGACAAGATTTTATTGTCTTGTTGTCTTTGTACTTTGGTATTTAGGTTGAAATAGTTTCCCAGACCCTAATTATTTATTTATTTATTTATTTATTTTTTTTTTTTTTTTTTGGGGGGGGGGATAATTAAAACATTATACTGCTGAAATGAGCTGATCTTTCCATGAAATTATGAAAATCACATCCTCTTGACAGTAATGTGTTTCTAATTTATATTCAGTAAATACTTTTAACGTGTAAACAAAAATTGAAACACACTTTGGGTTTGGTGAATTGGACAGATGAAAAATACAATTAGCAATATATTCATGGCAAATTCCCATTGCTTTGCAAACTCACTTTTTTATATTCTGAATGCAATTTGAATTGCATTCAAATTTGATATAATAGTTAACAGAGTTGTGGATATTTATGAAGGAAAGAAAAAGCTTATGTATTGAAAGAGGGAAAAAAAAGCTGCTTAACCTTGCAGTGATGCAGGAGTCTCTACCTGACCTGTGGATCTTTGCAACTCCTCCAGAGTTACCACAGGCTTCTTGATTGATGCTTCCCTGATCTGTCCGCTTAGGTAGAGAGACACTTCTTGACAGGAACTTTAGTTTAGCCAAGCTTTTTCCATTTTTGCTGGATGGTTTGACTTAAAATAAAAATAAGCAGACTCAGTTTAATAATTCATTTGACTTGTAAAAGCATCTACACTGGAATCTATTTAAAGTTATCGGAGTAAATTTGATGTAGTAAAAATCCACTGCACACTTGTAACATTTTTGTGATAAATGTTGGAAAAAAAAAACGGCTTTTTCTTTACTTCTACTTTTCCACTCCTATGTGTTGGCCTGTAGAATCCCAGCATACTGCATTGATATGAAGCTGTAATGTTACACAATGTGAAAAAAGTTTAATGCATTTGCTAGACACCGTCTGTGCCGGTGTATCTTTATGGTAACTGAAACACGAACTACAGACCGTGCATACGGCTCTCTTATTTTCTTTCTTTGAACCTTTGAAAGAGATTTTGGAATAGCATTTGGTCTGCCCGCAGGGAAATCTTACACAGATCTTTGACTCCAACTATCAACAAAATCCACTCTCATCATGGTCTTTTAACATCATTTTTCATTTTCCTTTTTTCTTACGTCTTTATCTGTTTGCATACGAGATCACCGCAGATGTCTTTCCACATTGTTCATTCAGCAAAAGTCCAGCACTTCCAGTTTCTCCGCAGATGCAGTCCAGCATTTTGACACGGAGCTGGACTGTCAAAGTGCTGCTGCAAAATTGACGGTGTCAGTTATGTCAGTGTCTGTTTATAGCAGCGAAGCTAACTGACATGTTACCATAACAATTTTAGGCCAATGAAAATGAGACCTCTTAGATTAGATTCTAAAGTGCTGCATCTGTGAGGTTGTGTAGTCTTTGCAGTTAAAACGTCACTGGTCAACCTTGTGAAATTTGTTTTTATGCCACGCTACACCAAACATGAAGAGCCAGCTAGAGGAATAAGCAGATCATGTTGCAGCCCTCAGGCCCCCTGCTGTGTCGGGAGACCTGCAGTTCACTTAAAACTGTGGACAGGCTGACTGATTATGAAGGGCAAGCACTGCCACAATTCAATACATAAATCAATAAGTTATGTGTGTTTGTACATGTATGTCTTCATTCAAATAATATTAGAAAATAAATTATCTAAACTCAATTCACCAATTATTATTGAAAAGATTAAAAATGTTACTCTATCTATTAAGATATGATTTAGTTATTTCTGCATTTTATTGATATTTCAATGGTTTCTGCGCATTATTATTACAAAATAATGTATGCAGTCGTGATAAATTTGATTATACACCACTCGCCTGACTTTAGCAGTGTTGTCCATACTCATTAATGGACACTATACTTTTTAGGAGCAATAGTGATCATTTAAATCATAAAATATTTTCTTAAATCCATCAGTGTGTAATTCAAATTAGAAACAAATATAGGGGAAAACTATTAAAGATGAAAGGATAATTAAATATGTCCAGGAATAAAAATAATTATTATATAAACTGGAGTTTCTCCCAGCTAATTTCAGTGGGTGCGGCAAAAATGACTAATGTCATGGTTGATTTTAAGTGCTGGTTAACCAGTCAGTTTGTTATTGTTGTTAAATTGTATTCATCCTAAGGTATGTATTTATTTATTGTCTTTTGGTGGAAAATTCTGGACTAATTGTATGTATCCTAATTGTATTTGAATTAATAGACATATACATATTTAAGTAACATTTCTTACTTTATTGATTGTGACACCTATGTAATATGCTGCAAATGTATATATTGTATGAATGTGTTGACACCAAAATTATTCATTATGAAAGTTAAGTTAAGCTGACAGTCATTATTTGTTGCTACTTATTAAATAAAAAATCAATTAAGTTTATTTGTATAGCACAGTTCAGCAAAGTGCTTTACATCATGAAAACACAAAAATGCAAAGTCATTAACGCGTAATTAATTTATTTGTTTGTGTTGCAAAGTTAACTTTTAAAATATGAAATAGTGTTTCCAATGATTTTCTTTCACAGCTCTGTATTATTTTTATTAAACTCCAGATTAATTTTGGCATCAAACTCTTCTATGGCAACAGTTTTGTTATATCAGATATCGATGCAAATCAATTTTATCTTTAATATATAATTAGTAAAATGTAAAATGTCTTAAAAGAGTTTTCAACTCTGTTATTGACTGATCATTAATCTTAAGTGACTGAGCAAAAGAGAAGTAAAGTAATCTTCCCTGACACTTTACAGCAGCCGGACCCACCTTGCTGTTTGGCCAAGTGACATGCACGGTGTGAAAATGATTATATGGATACAAAATGTGCAAAAGACACATCAGAGGCATTGTGGTGGGTTTACCTGGACGTGGATTCCTAGATTAAATTTTCCCCAGGGCCTGAGGCAACCCTGGGCCAGCTCTGCTAAATCACAATACCAAGTTATTTGTCTTTCTTGTTGTTAATTAAGCTTGTTATAAACATATTTTTGATGACTTGAATTTTTCTCAATAAATGTTTATAATCAAAAAGCTGAAAATTTGATCACCTTCCTTTAAATAGTATAAAATTATTTAACACAATTTGGTATGATAATTGTGGAAATGAAGAGGATTGACACCAGAACCATGTTAAATAATCAATGATGGATTTAATTTAATAGTTAAATAGTTTTTAGGGTAGTAAAAATACGATTCAAAATAGATTCATTAATTTCTGAGTGTGTTTCTTTGATCGTGTTTTTTCTGTTTCTCGTCCAGTTATTTCATGGATGGCAGAGTAAAAAAAGCAGAGGACTTCCTAAAGACTCGTCTTTTGGACACACTGACAGAACAGATTGCTAAAGTCACCAAGGTACCAGTGTTTCCTTTAAAATCCTAAATATTTATTGTGGATTACATTTTCTTTGTATATGTAGTGCAAAACTCTATGACGAACTTCATTTTTCGAAACCCAAAATTATACATCTGTATTTTATTTTATCTTTTTTTTTTTTTTTGCATTTTATGCAAAATGCATTTTTTTGTATGTTTCAAAGATTCACGAATATTTTCTTTAGTCAACTTCTAATTTCTGTAAGTTAGATTTGCAGACCATGTTGAGGAGAAGATATGAAAAGATAATTCAATTTATTTATAAAACACCTTTTCTATTCCTTTGGAAAAACTAGTGTCAACATGAGCCTCTGCACCAAATGTACTGATTTACAAAAGAGAAACAGCTCAGAGCCTGAGGGAAATGAAGCAACCATTCCCAGCACCAACATTCATAACAGAGGCAGGTTTTCCATTATGGATCTCAATCTGGACCACATTTCAGCATCTAAGAACTGGAAGGATAAATTATGTTTCTTGGCTTAATAGAATAGAATAGAATAGAATAATACACCCCTGGTGAATTTGTATAAAGTTTTATTAACGTGCATTAAAGTAAAAATTACTTGGGTTTTATTACGCCACTTATTCATTTTTACAAGTCTCTCTTACTTAACTTTAACTTGTTCTTTTACTCTGAACATGGTTAACTTCTTTTTTCGGATAACTATCGATGCTTTGCGATTTCACAGCAAGACCTCAACATTTGTGGTGTTCACCTGCATTTTGTCGGCTCTTTACAGGTTGTTAACACACACACTCCGGGGAAGAAGGTGTGGCTGGGTGGACTTGGACCAGCGTGGGCCGGCGGCATCAACAATCTCTCTGAGACGTACGCCGCAAGCTTTCTGTAAGTGGCATAATACAAAAAATTAATTAATATTTAGATTTGATTTGATTTTCATTTAGTGCATTTTATTTTCCAACTTACTTTCTAATATTCCTGTAATTTCCGCCCATTCCAGGTGGATGAACTCGCTGGGTGTGGCCGCTGTGCAGGGCATTGATGTGGTTTTGCGGCACTCGTTCTTTGACTATGGATACACATATCTTGTGGATCAGAACTTTAACCCTTTACCTGTAAGTTTGTTTCAGCTACACAAGGATTAAACATAATGCGCACTGTTTGGCCTTTCATCACAACAACAGGAGCTGACCAAGCTGATCCCAGCAGGCTCTGAAATGTTCCTGGGCAAAGCCCAGTACTTCGATAGCACCTCTGGCTCTTTCCCGTGGGAGCTATTAGCTGAGATGAAAGGCGTTTAGTGGCGATGAGTGGTCAGACGCAGGGGCAAAATGCCATGTAACCTAAGCCCTTTATCAGGAGCTCAGGACAGTGTCAGCGCTCCCCTCTGCCTTCATCGTAACTGTGTCCCTCTCTGTGTGGGACAGGCGGCCGCTGAGAGATCTGGAACATGAGACTCTGATATGCAGGGAGTTGGTCAAATAGCCTGCAACACTGTGTGGAGCTGAGGCAAGTTTTACTGTGGTCCGGCCATGCAGGAAGAAAAATACACTAAACGTCTATGGCAGGTGTCTTTGAAATGAGTCATTTTTACATCTTAGGATAAAACAAATCTATATTTATTTGCAAGCTATACAAAATATATCGTCTTCAAATCCTAGCTTAAACAATGATAAAAAAAATCTGATGGATTGACGATCTTTGTCAACTGTTTGTTTTTGTTTTTTTTGTTTTTTTGCTTTAGTCCTTAAAATCTTTATTGGAAATGCCAAAAAGCCCTTTAAAATTGCAGATGGTATTTTCTATCTGTTAAATTTGACTTATGTTTGTCAGCTCAAGCAGCGGCCTACTTGCTTTCCTCTAACTAAGATGCATCAATCAATCAAGATGGCCTCATTTTGCTTTGCTTCTTGTTTCCATTATTTTTTTGGGAATGCTGAGCTCCCGCTAGGATCACAATGCTTTTAACATTGCTGGATGTCTGATGGCTGTGCAGGCCTACCTGCTGAGAGAATTCACTGCAGGGCCAACCTGTCCTCTGCAGGGAAAATTTATGACTTGGCCCCTTCCCCTATAGGATGACTCCACCATTGATAGATTCTACTCAGAGCCCCCATCCCATTAAAGGACTGAACACCTTCATCTTTTTTCCACACTTTCCTCCCCGCTCTCTCTCTCTCTCCTCCTCTTTTCTTGTTCACATCCTTCTGTCTCATTCATACTCCCTTTTCCTGTTTTCTTTGTTGTTTTTCCTCCTCGTGACTTGGCTATCTGTCTCCAGGGGTGGGTGGTAAGGTCTTTTTGCAGAGTGATGATGATCTAAGTTAAATTCCTTAAGGAGCAGACATCTGCTGTATCGGAGAACATATTGCTCCTGTGTGAAAAGTGGAGACAATATTGACTTTACAGTCAAAAGCAGGGAGGTGAAGGAATATGGCTGGCCTTTATAAAAGTACTCCTATCTAATTTTAATTTAAAATGTCTGAAATGATCGTGAATGTAATTTTTTTTTATCTATTTTAGAACGATGGCATTATTTAATGAAGGGATAATCTAAAACATTATAAAGTCTGATAGCAAATGCCCACATGGCTCTGAAATAGTCTGTTTTTCTTTCAGTCATTAAATTAAGATAGACTTTCTCCCACCTCACCAAGGTTAGCAATACAAAGTGCAACAACTTTTACTTGATGAGCGACATCATGTTCACGCCTTCAGCTGATATTACGTTGGTATCTGCAGTAAGGCTTTTCTTGTTTAGAGCTTTTGGTGCAGCTTTCGCTGTGCCCACGCCGTTGCTTTCTCTCAGCTTGGTTTAAATTGTGTTTTGACTGGATTGCTTCGTGCTGGCTGCTCCTGCTCTTAATGTTTGTCTTTCTGTCCATCTGCGACGGGAGAGTCTGGGGAAGACTGGGAGACGGCAGGCAGTTGGACAAGAAAACAGCCAAACAGGCAAAATAAAAAGATTCAGCACCATGGAAAATATTTGTCACAACAATATCGTAATCATGTTAAATCTATTACTGTTTTGTCTGACAATTAAGAGCAGGCGTGTACTAAAATTATTCAATCTCTGGTTGTTTTTGTTTTTAGGGGGGGTTTTTTGTGAAAAAATTTTGAAAATAAAACGAAAGCATAAAGTCTCCATTACACATGATGTAATTACGATAGATCATAGCTCTGACCGAGTATTCATCTATCAGTCCCTCTGGCCACTGTCAACAATATCCCGCTCTATACTGTGCTCTGCTTCTTCGATGCCTTGGCAGCAAATTAAGTTAAAGTCTGCGTGGAAAAAAGAAGCCCTTAAATGTTGCCATATGCAGGATTGCATGGGAACTTCCTGAGGAGCACATGTTGTTCTGAATCTCTTGAAGAGGTGTTGAGTCTGTGTAGTCTGTAGAGTGAGGCACAGTATGGTGAACTTCTTATTAAGGATAACGTGAAACAGCAATTTATGATGCACCACAATAGTTTGTAAAAATGTGGTATTTAAGGCATAGCTGTTGTTTGGGCTTTACTTTTCATGTTGACTCTTCACATGTAGATGCTTTTCACTTGAAGTATTCATTGTCACTTAACCAAAAACCAAAGCTTTCGCCACAATTACCAGAATTTCCTGGTAACCTGTCTGGGTTACCAGGAAATTAAGGCAACATTTTTTTTTTTATTTCTTCTGACAGAGTTCGGCAGTTGCAGCTCATTTGTACATAAAATCACAGTATAAAGATCCGCCAATCAAAGTTCTTCAGATTTGGTAAAGTTTTGACTGGCCGACACTGATTTATCTGATTCAATGTTTTTCTTTAAAAACTACAATAAAAGAGCTGAATTCAAACATTCTGTGAGGCTTCTTGTTGTGATTGGTCTCTAATTATTTTAAAGAATCATTTTTATATTGTTATATTTAGTTTTAAAATAAACCAAAATAATTACAGAGCTGATGCTTTAAACTAGAGGTGAGTCGAGCTGAAAGTTGTTTGATTCTATAGTCACCAGCTGGTTTCTCTGTGCATCTCTATTAAAATAAAGAAACAGAACTTACTGTGATCTGATGCAACATATGCATGCAAGAAACTCTGAAGACCCATAACATGTTCTAAAAGTAAAAACAAAAAGCAGATAAGCTTTACAATGAACATGAGGTTTCAATCTAAAACTTGAACTAGTGTTTCCAGTTACCTCAAAGCTGACAAAGTATCCTAGTAACACAGTAACTAGTAACACAGCTTTTTTTGTTTTGAAAAGTGCTGGATGGTTGTTGGTGGATGCCTGCTTGTGTTTCTAAAATAATTTTTTTGAAAAATAAAGCTAATTGTGTGCTTCTCTTTGTGTCTTACTGGCCTGGCTCCTACAGGACTACTGGTTTTCTCTGGTCTTCAAGCGTCTGGTTGGTCCGAGGGTTTTAGCTGTCCGGGTAGCTGGACTCCAGAGGAAGCCCCAGCCAGGGCGAGTCATTCGGGACAAGCTACGTATCTATGCCCACTGTACGAGCTACTACAAGTATGTACCAGAATTCATTTGCATCAAGGCCTGACAGCTTTTTTTTGTTTTGTTGTGTTTTAATTCTGAGACTGTAACCTTTTGCAAAAATACAGCAATGCGTTGGGAATGTCCTTGAAGCTTTAGAACAAAGCAGAGTTTTGCAGTTAAAACGACCCCCAGTGTCACTGTGCAAATACCTGAGGCTTATTATCTGGTGGGGAAGAACAAAATCTCCTTTTCGCCCATTTGGCGTCCCATAAATAAGCAGTTCGTGGACACCCGCTCTTTCACAGCTCGGAGCCTATAAAACTTAACGGGTATCACTTATCAGGTGTGTGGGTTCTGTCTCCCTGTCGTCAAAGAGCCGCTGAAAGGTGTGCTAAGCCTTCATCCCGTCTCGGATTGGCTGGAGGGGGATATTTGAGGGGGTGGGGGGAGGGACAATAAGGCCGTCTGTGCAGGGAGGAGATGAAGAGTTGCCATGGCCTGTTCAAGGTTATCGTCTAACCCAGGCCAGAGGCTGTCAGCACCAGGCTAGACTTACTCTACGGCCTTACTCTAGACATAGTTCACTTAGAGTTTGGAGCATCTCAGGTAGAAATAGGTTACCGTTACTCGGATAGAAGGACGATTACAAGTGCAGGCAGTTTATTATAAATAGCATGTGTGAACAATTCTGACAGTTTTCAATTGGTTTGGTAGCTTGGGAGTGGAACGATGTTATTATGTGCACAAGTTCAGGACTCGTTTACTCGTGGCCAAACATTTAGGACTGAAAACTCTCCCTTTCACATCCAAAACCACTTTAGCTTCCAATATTTCTGCCACTTTGTGGTTGTACACAGTCAGCGTGTGGAGAAACCCTTGTTGTCTTGGTGGTTTGGCTGTACTGTAAATGTGTCCAGCCAGTGAGTGGATTGAAAAGTTTCTTCATCTTAGATGTTTGACTTCTTCTGCCCTTTTACCTCCCCTTAGTGGTTTGTGTGGCATTTTTATTTTTATTTTTTTCCGTCTTTCTACTGACGCACAGACATCAAACAGAAAATGAGTTTATGTTTCTGGTTTGGTTCCTCATCGCTTGGGCCTAAGAGATCATTATCAATTTCTCCATCTAACCGTCGGGTCCATCACTCTCTGCCCTGCTCCACGTTTCTTAGAAACGAGACTTTGAGAGCTTAACCCAGAGCCAGACACGCTGAGTTCCCAGCTCCAATGCAGTCTTTTATTCTGTCTTCTGGTAAATATATACTGAATGCTTGCTGTCTTGCAGGGTGATGAAATAAATGGTTCGCTCTGTGCCCAAAAGAAAGATAAACATTAAGCCAAAAACAAGTCTGCTGTAAGGATATGAGATTTTTTTTTTCTTTTAGGGAAGAGTTATAACCACCAGACTATTTAGCCTTGACCCTGAACACCACGGCTGACATGTGGTATTCACTACAGCTGTGTTGTCTTTGTCCTCATATCTGGGCCCTTATAAGATTTTATCATGTTTGTTTTATCTGTCTCGCTTACTTATTTACCTTTAGCTAATATTCCTATCAAATTGTGTCCCTAGAGCAGGACTTAAACAGTGTTGTCTGTGTAACTCAAGAATTGTTGTCCTTTTTGTTAGATCAGCCTTCATTTGACCCAGAACCAGACAAAAAGCAGGTTTTAATATTAGACACTGTCCAAGCTGATTATGCATTATTGTACTGAAATGTTAAAGACATCAAAGTTAGTGTAGTGAATGCAAAATGTGGAGTGGAAACCAGATATTCACTTGCACTGTGTCAGAAGACTTTTTTGCAGCTTGACGCAAAATTAGGGCAACTTATTCTTACTTTTCTTTCTTCTTTAGATCCTAGAATTTCCAAAATTATTTTTGTTTGTTTAAGGCCTTTATTATGACAGATAATATTTTGGAGATTTTTTTAAACATTTTCTTCAAAGTCAGAAGATTACATATGTTAACTCAGCTATGCCTTTTAACTATTTGGGGAAATCCCTGACGATGATGTCATGGCTTTGTAGCTTCTGGTAGGTTGATTCGCAGCTTTGGAGTGGAAAAGAAGCAAAACACAGATTTTTGGTCAACAACTCAAACTCAGATTACAGTTTGTAAACAATAGCAGCCACCATTATCATCACTGAAGTATGACGATGACAACATTGTGTCATCAGCCTGGAAATTCAATCTTGAGCACAAATTTGCCTGTCAAATGACAGATAATCCATAGTGTGCAGTCAAATTAGTTACCAAACTAATAACGAAATGAATGTTTTGGATCACAAAGACCTGATCTCAGTCCCATAGAAAACTTGTGGGCAGAGCAGAAAAGTTATGTATGAGCAAGGCGGCCTACAAACTATCAGATCTGTCAGGAGAAATGCACCAAATTCTCCACAAGCGCTTGTGATTTGTGGAAAAATACTAAAAATGTAATAAAAGTAATAAAAGAATATAAATATATGTCAGTTAGCTCACATACATGTTTTACTAACTGACCAAAAACAGAAAAGGTTTAGTCTGATTTGATGTCAGACAGTGAGAAAACAAGGTAACGTGTCCTTTCATATGGCGTATGTAAATATCTGGTTTCCTCTCCATATGTTAAACATTACCTTTCTCTCCGTATTTTCTGAAAGTTTTTTTGATCCAGATGAGATAAATGAGTTGTGCTTTTCATCTATAACTTCATGATAAAAATATCAAAGACTTCCCTCTCTTTGTATGTATCATTATTAATAGAAAGTCTAATTCATAACGGCATTGTAATATAGAAAATCCTCAGTAGCAGATGTGAAGAGGAGTATGTTTTATTTCATGCTGTGCTTTATCCTTTGTGGGATCAGTCCTAACTACATGAGAGGCTCCATTACGATCTACATCATCAATCTCCATCGGTCGAGGAAGAAAATCAAGCTAGCAGGGACGTTACGGAACAGGACCGTCCATCAGTACCTACTCCAACCCCACGGCGAGGGTGGACTCAGAGCCAGGTTGAAATTTGCCTATTTCTTTGTTTCTATTTATTTAAAAAAAAAAACACACAAAAAAAACAGCTAATTATTTACCCCTAATGATGTGATTTCAGGTTATGATCTTAAAAGGTAATTATTTTGTGCAGTGGCCTAAAGGGCATGGAGCTGAGGAGTCAGGAATATTGGAATTTTATAAGCAGTTTTTATAAGGTGCTAAACACAGACCCTTTACAAAGCTGCATTAAATTAATTTAGTTTTAAGACCATAGGTTGTGCTGAGCCAGCATGCTGGGTGAATTGCGTACCACAAAACATGAAAATACACATCTAGATTCCCGTTTTTTTTTTCCTTCTGCTCTCTATCAGTTGTCTTCTGTTGGGGCTTTAATGGTATTACACGGAAATGTTCCCAGTACATATCCATTCACAAGGTTAAATAAAGTTCAGTTCGGATTATTTATGCAGCAACGACCGACAACAAAAGTAATCTCAGGATAGGTACGGAGAAAGTTCAATTCAAATATACCGAGGGAATCCTTTTAAATCCTGCCATAATCCAGTTCAGTTATTCCAGTGTGTTTTTAATCTGTTTTCCTTCTCGGTTTCCAACTTAAATACAATAATACATTCTTCATTTAACTGCTGTCTGTTTAACCTCCCACTGCTGATTTGGTATTTTTTTTTAATCTATGATTTATTTTCAGTTAGTGTAATAACCCCACATAATTCTAATTTCCTCAAAATGTTTCTTGAAATAAAATCGTTATAGTTTTAGTCTCATGCTGTCTACCCTAAATCACCTGGTCTGTTGGGTTTTTTTTTACTTTGATTTAAGCCCAAAATCCTGGGATAACAGCCTAATGACTCACAACTGTGGAAGTGTGAGATTGTCTTTGAAGCATACGATACCTGCATATGGCCTTAATGGAGGCTGATGCATAAACCTGGAGAACAGCGTAATTATGAAGGATGTTTTTAGTGTTTGAACAGGATCGTAAGGCAATTAAAAGGCGAGGCAGCTAATGATGTCCCATTATCTGTCCTTAAAGTGCTCTCTTTTACCACAGGCACTGCATGAGAATTTAATGATCAATTCAACAGCACCAGATGTCTATAAATTTGCCTTTGTGGGACTTTTTAAAGTGTTTAGACTAATGCCTGTCGAGGGGCAACTTTGAGCAGGTCAGTTCAACTTGTAAATTCTCATTGGAGGGCATAATTTTATTTGAAATTTTATTTAATTTGTTTGGTTCTTGTAAAAATTACCTCCAGACCGCCAGTTTTTTTTTTTTTCTATTGCATTATAAACTTTACAACGTCAGTAACTGAACCACATTTAAGAAAAGCTTTGATTTTTTAAAACTAACAATGCTGTGAACTAAAGGAACACTGTTTCAGAAAAAAAAAATCTGCAAATAAAGCTAATTCTAAATGATGTAGTTAATGTTTTATAGATAAACATACATTATGAGTAAACACAAAACCTTACCTGATTGCTGTTGGATTGTTGGAATTCAATAAATGGTTTTACTTTAATTTATTGAATGCTATGTTCTCTAGTTTACAAAAATGCATAACAAATACCATAAAAATGTTATGGCAAGTAAACATCAGACATTCAAGTGAGACTGTCTAATTAAACTCTAAGTTTAAATCAGACAGAATAAACAGTTTTTATCCTGACATTACAAAGAGTACTCATAATCTAAAGTACTTAAAATGTTTACCAAATGCCATTTTTATAGGACAACATAGAAAAATACATTTAAACTAATTTTTAGTTTGTTTTTTTTTGTTTGTTTTTTTGTTTTTTGTTTTTTGTTTTTTTTTTTCTAAAATTAAATGTTTATTTTGGTGCTGATTTGTAATCCACAACATCTTTTAAGCTACTTATGCCAAGTAGTTAAAAAAATGGTCTGCTATTGAAACTTTTAGGTTTTATCTGCGCTACTGCGCTGCAAAATTGTAACAGCAGCGCCCCCAAGTGTTTAATTTTTGGAATCAGCGTTTCAACCAAAAGTTGATGCAATTCATCTTCCTCTTTAGCCTTTCACATACATTTTACAATCTGTGGTATTATGTGTCAGAAAGCAGCTGGGAAAGGCTTACAAAACCATGCCTGATGACCCTCAGATGGCTGAGGAAACACTCACACTACATACCAAACAACGAAGATCACTCATTTAACGGCTGCAGTGTCCTGCACGACTTAATCCTTATTTTTAAAGGCTGCACTCTTCAACAGAAAAAAAAGCAAATATTATTCTGTCAAACTGTAAAGGTTCAAATATAAAAGACCATTTGATTTTTATTGATTCCCCTAAATGCACCCATTGTCACACTGTAAGGTGTGAGATTGTTTATAGCGCTGATCGTGACCTTAATGACTCATGTGATATTTAAATTTTCTGGAAAGATGAATTTTGCATTTTGGTTAGCTGTAAAATGAAGTAGAATAAAATTCTAAAATATATAACTGTTGTGAAATTAGTTTCACTTTCTAAATTAAAATATAGGGATAAATGAAATATTTGATTGTATTTTAAACCTATTTAAAATTCTAGAATTGCAACATTTCAGTTCTGGCTATCAATTTTTCCTGTGACTATGTTCTTTTTTTAAAGGGCGTAGAACCGTCTGCTTCTTGACTAAATAAGAACTCTATGGGTCTTACTATTTTTTTTTTTTTTGTATTCTTTTTACAGACATGTACAGCTGAATGGGGAGAAGCTCCTCATGGGCAACGATGAGACGTTCCCAGAGCTGAAACCTAAAATTCTTCGGGCTGGACGGACAATAGCTATGCCTCCAATGAGCATAGGGTTTTATGTCATCAAAAACATTAACGCATATGCCTGCCGGAGATAACAGCGACTCTTCCTTCCGGAGCGCAGGACACTATATGTGAGTTTTCTGGACGCAAAGCCTAAAATCCAAATCACCAGAGGAGATTGCGTCGTCCTGCTCAAGGGACAGCTGAACAGAGCAGACGTTTGGAAACACCCTCGTTGAAAAACAACCGACTAAGAATGAGATGGTAACACTTTATTTGAAGGGGGGTGAATAAGACTGACATGACACCGTCATAAACATGACATAACACCTGTCATGAACATGAATAAGCCTTCATGAATATTTATGACTGCTGTCATAAAGTGTCATTTGGTAAAGTATGACACTTTTAATACAAAGTTGACATTATTGAAAATGTCTTTATTATGACAACTTGATATTAACCAAGAAATCATTACTGATATAAATTTGTTATAAAAGTATTACTGATTGCACTTAACATAAAATTAGGTAACTTTATGTTATTAAAGGTAAAGTTTAAGCAGTAATGATTTCTTGGTTAATGTCAAGTTGTCATAACAAAGACATTTTGAATAATGTCAACTTTGTATTAAAAGTGTCATAATTTACCGAATGACGCTTTATGACAACAGTCATAAATATTCATGAAGGCTTATTCATGTTCATGACAGGTGTCATGAACTGTCATGTTTATGACAGTGTCATGACAGTCTTATTCACCCCCCTTCAAATAAAGTGTTACCGAACGGGATTATTATTTTTTGTGGGAATATTTAAACCGCTCTTCCCGGTTTCAAATAAACCTCACATTCTCTCCTCTGTTCCGACAAAGTCTTTCTCACCATGATGCAGGACTTCACTGCTGAACACGTCGTCTTTTCGCCAATAGTTCCTCAAAAGGTGCACAACTTTATGTGGTAAGTTATTGCTTTTGGACTGTGATGACGTTTTCATTTTGCGGGGCACAAAATGGCAAAATTATAAACATTGTTTGGGCTGATATTTTCTTGTCTTTAATTGTCTTTCTCTTCCAGACTTTCAGTTGCTGAAACACAAAAAAAAAAAAAAACAGAGAAAACTGCCATGTTTTAGCTAACTGTTGTGCATTTATAAGCTTTTTAAATGAATTTGATAAAGCTACTGATGTGTCTACTAAAAGCATTTTTTCCCCTTTGTTTTGAAGAGGCTTACATTGAAAGTATGGGGTTTTAACACTTTGATTATTTTTGTCGTCTTTGTTTCTTTTACTGTTTTTTGATTTTTGCTTTAGTGATGCAAGATCTCTTTTTATCTGGATATGATACATTCGATATGTTGTTCCAGTATTTTGAGGAAAATCTTAGGAACAATATAAAATACGCTTGAAACTGGGTTTACTTAAAAACATCTTAAATCCCAGTTTTTCAGGTACAATTTGTAACCCTTTTCATTTAATTTTATATCTGATAATCCTTACTATTTTAATGCTGCTAGGTCACTTTTGTATGGAATATATCTTTGTACAGATATACAGCCATATATTTTTAGAGTATGTATTGTACATAAAAAAAATATAAAGGAGATTTAAGCTTGATATGTTAGATTCAGTATGCAATTAATTTATGATAAAAAGTCTATTTCTAATATTGAATGTTCAGTTCTGTTTTTGTTTTCATATTCTGTTTCTATGTAAAATTGTACATTTTGTCATGCAAAACCATTAATATGCTTTAACTTTTTCATTATCTGTCACTTACAAACCTCAAATGCCAAAGTACAGTCATATTTAATAAATTGGAATACCCTTTCTAATGAGGCTCATTAAATATACTTTTCACTAGACCACCATCTCTACTAAATGTCTTCTTTATTGGTCTGGTGTGATATTTTAATCTTATGTGTCATGTTTTCATTAGCTAAAAGCAGAAAAATCACAATAAATAGACTTAAGCACATCAGTCTTTGAATTGATTTAGTGAAATGAGAGAATTTTCAATATTCTAATTTATTGAAACTAGATTGTATGGCTGTGTTTTGTTGTATTTTTATGTCATAAACAAACAGGAATTCAAGCATAATTGTGAATTTGAAAAAGAAAAAAAAATGGTACTCGTTTTGCATTTGTTTACGTGTGCATTTGTCTTCAACTACTTACTTTCTGCTGACTTTCAGCTATCCAATATTCGTCCCACTCCTGCACAGAGACCAGATTAGCAGAGTTGATGAGAAGTTGTGGGTGTTGGTTTACAACCCCGCCATTCATAAAACTAAACAGTTTTATGTCTGACCATCCCGTGTTCTCTGTTCTTTGTGACACTGTTTACTGAACAGCATTTATACTGAGGTCAATGGGAGAATATACTTAGCCGAATTTTAAAAGCATTTGGTTGCATTGGAATTCATTTACAGGCAAATAAGTAAATGCAGTTGAACACATATGCACACCACACTTTTCAGATATTTACTTGCAAAAATAAATCCATGCATTATGTTGTAGCTCATGATTACAACATAATGTAATTATGAGTTACATTATGTTGGTCTATTATATATAAAAAATTCCCCTCTCACCCTCCGTGGGTGGTCTCTTTCATCCTCTGAGC